AACACATACACACAAATGCACGCACACAAATGCACGCACACAAATGCACACAGACACACACACACAAACGCGTACACACACACACAAACGCGTACACACACACACACACACACACACACACACACACACACGCACACACATACACACAATTGCCCAGGATGATGAGCAAAGCAGAATCGACCCTACACTAATACACTACTATTATTTACAAGCAAGCTCTGAGGTTCCGAATACAAAAACACTGAGATCGATGGAAGAAAAAAAACAGCATTGGGCCTGAAAATGGAATGCTGCGAACAGTCATGCAAACAAAAGAGCATCAAAAAAGAATTCCAAAAAGTTCCAGAAAAGAAGTTTTTGGAAAAAAAAAACAAAAATTCCGAAAGGCTTCCCAAAAAAATTAATTTTTGGCCGGATTTTTTTTTTTTTTACCGTTACTGACCCATTGCTGTTCTGAGAAAGCAAAACTGCTGCATAGCAGCAGTATGCCTACTTCTTTTTTTTTTCTTTTTACACAATTTCAATGCTTGAAGCATCCGGAATTTGATTCAGCTGCTGCATCATGAGATCAACTAGCGGTTTCCGTCGAAATCGCCTTGCTTCACGTAACGCATAGCGCAAGCATATTCGTCGATCCACAATACAAAGACTTTTCATTTCGTCCAGTATCATTTTCATCACTGTTTCGCCTAAAAAAAAGGGAAGAAAAAGCATTCACTGTTTTCCGTTTTCTTTTTTTTTTTTTGAAACCAAAATCATATTTTTATGCATTTTTTTTTTTTTTTTTTCATTTTTCGGTACTACTGTTTGTTTGAAGGCAAAAAACGACTATTGGCATACGCTCTGAAGAAATGAATTACAAAACTGGAGTGCTAAATGAAAAGATGAAATAAAAAGAAAGGGTCGTGGAAGCCGTGCCAAAAAAAACCGGTCATTCCAAGCAGGAATGTCAGAGCTGTAGTAGATGTGCGGGGTAATTTTGCGGCTGTAGTTAGGCCAAAGTATAACATATAAAGTAGAGGACTGTATAAACCGAAGGAAGTTCAGCACAGCTGAATTCCACATGGTTTCAAGGCTGGGAGGATAGAATTTGAAAAAGAATAGTAGCGGGTAAGATAGTTTGGGTCGTTAATGTGGAACAAACCAGTTGACAAGGAAAATGGTCATGTCGACTGTATTTGAATGCTTGAATGCCTCTCAGTAATATCAATCAAGTCTCCGCGCTAACAACCTTAGCAACAATCGCAATTCCACTGGTATGGGGGTACACCCCTCGCCCCTCCTCCCTGTCCCCCTCTCCCCTTGTTACAAAGATACGGTCTTTGTATCAGAAAACTGACTAAGAGTCTGTGAAATGCAAGCAAATCATTCGACACCTTATCACCTCATATCCTTTTGCCCCGCACAATTTTTGTTGATTCCGGTGCCCAATTTTGCATGGATACTATCTATCAAGTGATCGCTAAAGTGCATTTTTTTATATCACCCGCTGATGTTCAAAGAACCAATGGAAACATTTTTGCGTTACTAATGCAAAAAAAAAAATTTCAGTTCTTTAGCGAAAAGTGGAAATGTTGCCGGAGCGGTCGTTCGTCAAAAAACCCAAATATGTAAATGAACTGGATGTTGGGAGAGGATGAGTGCGGTCGTTCGCTACAGCGTGCACTGGCTGCGAGAATTAACTCAGAGCCCTAAATCAATAGAGGACTAAATTAACTGTCGTTCTGATGGCATCAAGCGTTATCGTCTGCGTTATATCTATAGGAATAAGTCGTGAAAATTGTTATTGCTTCGATGATGTTTTGCACCAAAATTTGTGTTCAGAAGTTATAACGGCAACACCTCCGGATTACAGTAACATCTCGGGATTAGCGGATATTAAGGGATATCCAAAACCTATTCGTATCTGAATCATCGGATATTTCGCAAAAATTACTTTTATACTTACCTCGTGCAAGTTTTCTTACAAATCGGCCCATGAGTATTTTCTTCTCCTTCAATGTCGACTCATCCAGCCTTGTTTTCATCTCATCTTCACGCGATTTCTTCTCTGCCGGTGGCGAAAAACGGCTCGCAGAAGCGCTTCGTTTTCGGCTTCTTAATTCACCATTCAGTTTTTCATCAACACTGCCATTGAGGCTGGACGTTGATGGCTCAGTTTCTGTGCCAACAATTGACACTGCAAAAATTTACATATTCACAATTTTTTTAACAAAAAAAATACTTCGGCTGATCAGCTGTTGTTTCATCGCTGTATCTTTGCTTGCCAAAAATACAGTAATTGGCAATTTCTCCATTTTTTTCCGATTTTACACCTAATGCATTTATGTAATTTCGCACAGGAATCTAAATTTGAATTCACAAATTGGGGAGGACTCCTCAGTACTCATCTGGCACTGCATAGATACCAATCAATAATCTCTTTTGTCTGATTTTGCTAGCACTTATTTCCGCTATAATCCAAATGTTGTAGAAATTTAAAAAAAAACACAAACAGTAAATATTCTTGGCAAGGAGTGTGGAAAAGAACGGGGGCCTAAAATTCACTACGTGTTAAAATATGCAGTTTATTTGGCGTTATTGGCTCACCATGGAGAGGAACACAATCGAATTTTGACAATTAAAACTGGAAGTGCCATTTAGATCTCCCAAATAAGCAAACTGTATGTGCAGTGACTTGGTAGCCTATCTGTGTTCAGCTCGTCTTTCCAACCTACACTGCTTTTTAATAACATTTAGGCAAAAAATCAGCTATGTTTCAACGAGCTATGGAACGATGCAAGGTAAACGTCAGCAAGTTGTAGCACATTTCCGCTGAAGTACTGTATTTTCGTTCTAAATAAACTATATGGCAGTGTTTGTATGCGTCTGGCAAAAATGACAGTCTTTTTGATGGGCAAAGCGGCTTGTGTTGAATGGTATCCATGCAATGTTAAAAGAACACAAGGAGGGTTCATCGATGAATTAAAAGCATCCGCTTGAGCGGATATTTATGAAATTATGCGGATGAGAGAGGTCTAAAATGAAGGAGAAGGGAAAAATTACTAGATCCGTAGCAGCAAAAAAAAAGACACTCGACGACGAAACAATAGCTGATTAAAGTACTTAATGGACCAAAACATTTCTTATCATTATAATAATCTTATTATAATAGTCTTATTAAAATAATTTCATCACTTTTACTAATTCTTAATTTCTTATTTCGGAATTTTCCCCTCAGTTTTCCTTCATATTTCAATATACCTTTCTATTAAAGCAGAAATATCTATCAAATTTACCCACTCCCTGACTTAATTATCACCAGCTGAATCATCCGAACGAACAAATGTCGCTGGTTCAAGCATCCGTATATGCCAGCCAGCTAAACCATCTGCTCATGGGAGCAACTCCTAATGACCGTTTTGCTCCAACTACAGGCTGTTTTTTGGGCATCAACACGTTTTCGTGATCTACTGAAGCGACCGATTTTTTGATATCACGAAGCCCCTTAGCATCTTACGAAACAAAAATTCTGAGACACTCAGCAAGTGATTTTATGCGATTAGCAAGAGTAGCCAAACTTACGATTATCACCAGAGCAGAGATCAGCACTGTACGGTGAAGCTGGAGCTGAATCCAGATCGGACATCGATGAAATGGTAGATGAAGCTGACGAAGCAACTGATGAAGCTGAAGACATTTCACGTCGCCATCGCCGCCTGCAACTGCTTTCATCAGTATCTAAGTTCATCCTAACCCTCAACCAAAAGTGGCAACTTCCCGCCTTTGCCCTCAATCAAGCTGTTTGATAGCGACAGAAAACCCGCGAAAAGTCGGCAAAGAAACTCTGCCATAAAGAAAAAACTGTGCACCACCTATGCGAGATAGTCAAGAAAAGAAAGATGTATTCTGCCCTAAAAAGCAGGCACACACTACACTTTTTAAAATGCTTATCTTGAAGCACAAGGGCCAGCGGTGTAGTGGATAGCACGTCATGTTAAGATTTGAAGAGGAATGGTTCGATCCCTTCCTGAGCCACAGTCCTTTTCGAAAAGGATGAAATAATGAAAGCAACAGCATATAATCGTATGTGCCTATAACTGGATGTTTGCTACACACGCAGAGCATGCACATTATTCTACGTTTTAAGGCCGTGATAGGGGAACAGTAGAAAAACTGCAGTAAGAAGTCGAGTGTGTAGTATCGAAAATGACTAAAACAGAGATGAAACCATGCATATAAAGTTCAGCCAAAAAATCACTGTATAAACTTCGAAATTATGCCAAAAAATCACTGTAAATATTGAAAATTTACCTCCATTTGGACAACGAATCTGACGAAATAGGGCCCGCTTTGCGTCGTGGTGGGCGATTACTCTCTGCTTGCGAAGAATTCGAGCCAGCCGATGACAATCTCTTCTTTGCGGCCTCCGGTTTCGGTGAACCTCCGAGCAAACTACCTTCACCAACTTCATCTACTGCCATATTTCTCTACAACAGCGTAAATGTAGGATTGAAAATTCGGGGTGAAAATAAACTCGAAATGCAGCAAGAAGTTTCTGGCTTTCACGGGGCTGGTTTTTTTTTTTTTTTTGTAACAAGAACTTCTATCGTGAGCTGAGTGATAAAGATGTGCATGCATCCAA